AGCACCACGAGATGGTCACGGCTGTGAACCTCCCGGATCGCTGCGTCGAGAGCAGTCCAGAAGGAGTCCTTGGTGTTAACATCACCGCCCGCGGTGGTGCGGACAGTTTCCGTGGGGGCGTACCCCACCACGAAGTTACTCCGCAGGTGCGGCCAATTTGTAGACGAACCTTCATCAGCCTCGGGATAATGCACTCCACCGTCCTACCTTCCTCGCCCACACTCTCCCACATGGTGTCCTTGATCGCTATGCCCACACCGTGTACGCCCCTCTTGTCCTTGGTGCCAGAACGGGCGCCACTCCAGATGATCACGTACCCGTCGTGTGCACTTGAACCTTGCCCCTCTCGTCGGGTCTCCTGAAGTCCTATCACATCACAGCCGGTCGCGGAACAAATCTGCATGACCGTCATCACGTAGTGACCGATAGGGTTCCTACCGCTGTAGGCGAGCGTGCGTACGTTGAACGTGCCGAACGATAGGTCGCCCTCTCGTGCCTTCTTCTTCCCAGCCGCCTTGACGACCGCTGCGGTCTCGTGTCTCTCTCGGTCCACCTCGCGTTGCGGGTGTGCTTTCTTCCGTATCTTCCGAGCGGCGAGTTTCCTCGCATCAACCCATCTCTGTTGTGTACCTGGATCGTGGAAGACCCCTTCAATGTGGGACGATTCCTAGTCAGTGTCGATGTTTACTCTGCTGTGCCTAACACAGATGATCTGAGTGGATTCGGGTGATTGTCAATTGCAATGATGGTTTTGGTTGGGCGTTCTTCTTCATTGTATGTCCACGGGCTCATGCTGACAGCACAGACAATAGCTCCATGCCCCGAGCTTGTGTACCATGCACCATGGTGTTATTATTGTACAGACAGCACTTCAGACAGCAGTACGCTGTTGTCGACAAGCAGTCATTTTGGTTAATTGCGGGACAAGGGGGGTGATGCTGCTGCTGTAGTCGATTTGTAGTGTGTGGGCGTGTAGTTCAGTTGTGAGCACGTAAACGTGCTGCAGGGATTGCAGGTGTACCTCCTCGGGCTTGCGTACCCTTTCCTTACTAATAGTGTGTGTTCTTTAGATCTTCTGATGGCTCTAGCATTTTTGTACACCACGGACCGAGGCTTCGCTAAATTTTGGGATTAACGCGAGTGTAATGTGAAGAAAAACAACAACAGCAACAAATCCTTTATCTTTATTTTGGTTTTATTTTGATCGGTCTCCGAGGCCTCTTTTCTCGAACGGTCGGTGCGATACCTGTGCTTTTCTTTTTACCATTTTGTTTCCTTTTTCCGAGTGGTTTGTACCCTATTTTCGTTTTGTTTCCCCGCGGTGTCGTATGTGCCGGGCTTGAGACCACGGTGTTGCCATTTTCGGTGGACTATATATGGTGGGACGGGAGAACCCGGGCCGGGGAAGCCCGGAGCAGAACTGGCTGATATGCCTGAAGGACGACCTGAAGATGTTCGAAGCCAGACACGGCTCCACGCCCGACAAGCGGAGCTTCTTCGGAATCCCGAAGCCAGACTGGGACGAGGCGGCGAAGGTGGAGGGGGGGGTACCGTGGCACGCGGGGGTGCTACAGGGAGCTGAGAGGCTTATGGCCTCTTGGCACAAGGGCGAGGATAAGGACAGCCGACAACGAGCCATCAAACGAGGAGACAGCGGTCCCAAAAATAGTCTACATACGGCACCAATCAACGGGGCGGGAGGGGGACGGGAGGAAACGGCGAGGGAAGACAGTAAGCGAAAGAGACCGACCGCGTGACGTGACATGTTGCGGTTGAATTTCAGCGACTAGTTTTTCTGTTGCCCTCTCCCCCGTTTGCTGTCGCGTTCAGACTG